TCAGAAAGTCAGTTTTAGCCTGAATTATGTGAAGCCATGCTTCTTTGAGACATCCTCCACTGTGCAATTTTATTTGAGACCTGCTTAAGATTTTCTCAAATGTTTCATGGACATCTGGAGCCTCTGTTCGCTCATCTGTATATTAGAAGGTTGGTCTTTCAATGCTGTGTGCTGGGCCACCATCTAAAACCCTGATGTTTCCTCCACATGTGTCATCTTCCAACTTTTCTTCCCTGGAGATTTCCCAGAGATGCCACCTTCCCACAGGCTCCCGGAGACCCTCACTTAAGGCCGAGGAGAGCTGAGAAGTCGTGTTGGAAAATAGGGCCAACTGTTGTCTAAGGAAGGGAGAGGGAAGAACAGGTGTTTCTTCTGTAGTCAGTGAGGTGTGGGACGTGTGGACAAGGAGGGTCTGCACAGACACAGAAGCAGTCACGAGAAGCGGAGAGCGTCCACAGGCTCTTAGCCCAGCTTACAAGTACTGACAGATGCCACTTGGCACGGATAATGCATCGCTGCAACCACCGTTCAGTGTGCTTCGTCACTAGGGAAGCCCCTGCAAGGGTTACACTTTTGGTTCTAAAAGGCTTAAAGTTTAGCAGTAAGAGCCTAGCATGTGTTGATCATCATAGTAATTCTATGAAAATCTAGTAAATCATAGCCATAATAGTAATAGGATCACGACATTCTCTCTTCCCTGGCCATACATGTAGGAAGAGGCTACTCAGAAACAGCCACAGCGAGGATCCTACAACAGAGAGACGATTAAACACAAAAACTGCATCTGCGCAAGACAGCTCCCGACATTCTAGAGCAGACTTGGGCATTTCAAGAAAGTGGAAGAATTCTCTTGGCTTCTCTTCTGAACATATTTTATTTTACAAAACAAACAAAAAGAAACACGGAACGTATTTTGGGAAAACTACTTAACTTTCTTGAACTTAATCAACTTTGTTTTTGAAAATAGCTGAACATGTTTGCAAAACGTCAGCCCTGATCATTGAATTCTGAAAAAACACAAACCACGGAAGTGTCTGGTCAACTCCAGGCATCACAGACATCACTGCAAGGCTTCGTGGAAACAAGCCTTCGCTCTTCTGTGGCAGATTGTGCAGAGTGAGTCAGTGTCAGGTAAGATGCTGAGAATCTCAATCTGAGTGCTGAGACACCTGGCCGTGTTTCAGAAGCAAATCTGCCTTGTCAAGGGGTGAATTCCACAAAAAGCAGACTTTGCTTGAGAAGCCCAGACTGGAGAAAGTTCCTGGTGGGTGGTTTTGCCACACTCCCAAGTGAGAGCCACTGATGTCTCATGGATGGCACCAACGCAGAGAAGGAGCGTCACCTAGCGTCACCAAACAGTGTCATTTCACCCAGAACGGATGCAAGCACTCAGGCCCACCGGGAGCCCTCCTCTCCCTCACAGCCCCTTGTCACTGTGACACAATCCACACATAGGACCCTCTCAGCTGCCCGCCCTGACTTCTGCAGCTGGCATCAGCACGCCCAGTGGACAGGTAGAATTTTGAGAGGTCTCTCAGCTAGTTTGCTCTAGTCTGAGGGCCGGCACCCATTAGCTCAGGCTGCCGGGACAAAGCTCCACAGACCTGGCTTCCCATCAGAAGTCTGTTCTCTCTCAGTTGTTTTTTTTGAGATGGAGTCTCGCTCTGTCGGGCAGGCTGGAGTGCAGTAGTACGATCTCGGCTCAGGGCAGCCTCCACCTCCTGGGTTCAAGTGATTCTCCTGCCTCAGCCTCCCAAGTAGTGGGACTACAGGCGCCCACCACGCCCCGCTAGTTTTTCGGTATTTTTAGTAGAGACGGGGTTTCACCATGTTGGCCAGGACGGTCTCTGTCTCCTGACCTCTTGATCCGCCCACTCCGGCCTCCCAACGTGCTGGGATTACAGGCGTGAGCCACCGCGACCAGCCTGTTCTCTCTCTGTTATAGAGACTGGAAGTCTGAGATTAGGCCAGGGCGCTGCTGGTGCCCCTGCCGCCTCTTTCCTTGGCCGTCTTCTCAGTGTTTTCCTCCGTGAGTGTAGGGACCCTGGTCTCCTCCCCTGATGAGGATGTGGCCAGGCTGGAACCTCACTGTAACTGGCCACCTCATAGAGGCCCTGTCTGCAAACACAGTCACATTCTAGGGTGCTGCAGGCAGGGATTCTGCAGGGACACGGTTCAGCCCCTAACAGTGTCCAGCACTGAAGCTTTTCCGCAGAGGGAAGGGGGCCACCTCCTCACCCTTCTTGGGGACTGCTCTGGCTCCAGCACTGAGTTTTGTCCCTGAGGTCACAATCAGCTCTTCAGCCTTTGTAGTCTGTCACCCATGAAATCCTAGAATTTCTGCTGCTATCAGTATGTCCAGTCTTAATCCATTTTTTAAAGTTTCTCCTGGCCTCATTTCAGTTCCACCCACGGTGCTGTGTGCGGGGGCAGCTGGGCGCCCCACTCACCCACGGTGCTGTGTGCACGGGCAGCTGGGCGCCCCACTCACCCACGGTGCTGTGTGCACGGGCAGCTGGGCGCCCCACTCACCCACGGTGCTGTGTGCACGGGCAGCTGGGCGCCCCTCTCACCCACGGTGCTGTGTGCGGGGGCAGCTGGGCGCCCCACTCACCCACGGTGCTGTGTGTGGGGGCAGCTGGGCGCCCCTCTCACCCACGGTGCTGTGTGCACGGGCAGCTGGGCGCCCCACTCACCCACGGTGCTGTGTGCACGGGCAGCTGGGCGCCCCACTCACCCACGGTGCTGTGTGCACGGGCAGCTGGGCGCCCCTCTCACCCACGGTGCTGTGTGCGGGGGCAGCTGGGCGCCCCTCTCACCCACGGTGCTGTGTGCGGGGGCAGCTGGGCGCCCCTCTCACCCACGGTGCTGTGTGCGGGGGCAGCTGGGCGCCCCTCTCACCCACGGTATTGTGTGCACGGGCAGCTGGGCGCCCCACTCACCCACGGTGCTGTGTGCACGGGCAGCTGGGCGCCCCACTCACCCACGGTGCTGTGTGCACGGGCAGCTGGGCGCCCCTCTCACCCACGGTGCTGTGTGCGGGGGCAGCTGGGCGCCCCACTCACCCACGGTGCTGTGTGCGGGGGCAGCTGGGTGCCCCTCTCACCCACGGTGCTGTGTGCACGGGCAGCTGGGCGCCCCACTCACCGACGGTGCTGTGTGCACGGGCAGCTGGGCGCCCCACTCACCCACGGTGCTGTGTGCACGGGCAGCTGGGCGCCCCTCTCACCCACGGTGCTGTGTGCGGGGGCAGCTGGGCGCCCCACTCACCCACGGTGCTGTGTGCGGGGGCAGCTGGGCGCCCCTCTCACCCACGGTGCTGTGTGCACGGGCAGCTTGGCGCCCCTCTCACCCACGGTGCTGTGTGCGGGGGCAGCTGGGTGCCCCTCTCACCCACGGTGCTGTGTCTGGGGGCAGCTGGGTGCCCCTCTCACCCACGGTGCTGTGTCTGGGGGCAGCTGGGTGCCCCTCTCACCCACGGTGCTGTGTCTGGGGGCAGCTGGGTGCCCGTCTCACCCACGGTGCTGTGTGCGGGGGCAGCTGGGTGCCCCTCTCACCCACGGTGCTGTGTCTGGGGGCAGCTGGGCGCCCCTCTCACCCACGGTGCTGTGTCTGGGGGCAGGTGGGTGCCCCTCTCACCCACGGTGCTGTGTGCACGGGCAGCTTGGCGCCCCTCTCACCCACGGTGCTGTGTGCGGGGGCAGCTGGGTGCCCCTCTCACCCACGGTGCTGTGTCTGGGGGCAGCTGGGCGCCCCTCTCACCCACAGTGCTGTGTGCACGGGCAGCTGGGCGCCCCTCTCATCCACGGTGCTGTGTGTGTGGGCAGCTGGGTGCTCCTCACCCATGATGCTGAGGGGGGGGGCAGCTGGGCGCCCCTCTCACCCACGGTGCTGTGTGTGGGGGCAGCTGGGAGCCCCTCTCACCCACGGTGCTGTGTGTGGGGGCAGCTGGGTGCTCCTCACCCATGATGCTGTGGGGGGGGGCAGCTGGGCGCTCCTCTCACCCATCGTGCTGTGTGGGGGGGCAGCTGGGAGCCCCTCTCACCCACGGTGCTGTGTGCGGGGGCAGCTGGGCACCCCTCTCAGCCACAGTGCTGTGTGCACGGGCAGCTGGGCGCCCCACTCACCCACGGTGCTGTGTGCACGGGCAGCTGGGCGCCCCTCTCACCCACGGTGCTGTGTGCACGGGCAGCTGGGCGCCCCTCTCACCCACGGTGCTGTGTGCACGGGCAGCTGGGCGCCCCTCTCACCCACGGTGCTGTGTGTGGGGGCAGCTGGGCGCCCCACTCACCCACGGTGCTGTGTGTGGGGGCAGCTGGGTGCTCCTCACCCATGATGCTGTGGGGGGGGCAGCTGGGCGCTCCTCTCACCCATGGTGCTGTGGGGGGGAGCAGCTGGGAGCCCCTCTCACCCACGGTGCTGTGTGCGGGGGCAGCTGGGCACCCCTCTCACCCACGGTGCTGTGTGCGGGGGCAGCTGGGCGCCCCTCTCACCCACGGTGCTGTGTGCGGGGGCAGCTGGGCGCCCCTCTCACCCACGGTGCTGTGTGCGGGGGCAGCTGGGCGCCCCTCTCACCCACGGTGCTGTGTGCACGGACAGCTGGGTACCCCTCTCACCCACGGTGCTGTGTGTGGGGGCAGCTGGGTGCCCCTCTCATCCACGGTGCTGTGTGCACGGGCAGCTGGGCGCCCCACTCACCCATGGTGCTGTGTGCACGGACAGCTGGGTACCCCTCTCACCCACGGTGCTGTGTGTGGGGGCAGCTGGGCGCCCCCTCAGTGGTGCTGGCTCGTCTGCCTCTGTGTCGTGGTGTCGTGGAACCCATTCTGCACCCTCTCTTCCTCCCTCCCTCCCGCCACCCCTACGCTCCTTCCTCCGCTCCATCCCATCTTCCCACCTCATGCTCGGCCCCGCCTCAATGCTTCATACTTACTGACATGTTTCTGTAAAGCTGAGTGAACTCACACTATTAATTATTTTCCCTGTTCAATCACCTTCAGAGGCAGCCCAGGATGTGTTGAGTTCACTGACTGCACAGCCCACGTCTCTTCCATTTGGCTGTTCATCGTGACCTCCCATCTCCCCAGCATGGCCAACCCACACCGGCCTCTGTGGCCACCTCCCCATGGCAGGCCAGGGTGGAGGCCAGCTGAGCCACTGTCCACTTCAGCCTGCGGAGGCTCTCTCTCCTGTGCTTCTCTGCACTGCTCCAGGGGTGCTAGACCGCTCTACTGCTGAGGCCAGCATCTCAGAACACAGCTGCAGGCTCCTGACGGCACTTGGACCCATCGCCTCCGGGACCACCGGGCATCAGCAGCCTCGGGGCAGGGGTGTCCTCTGCACCCTTTAATCCAGCTGCACTCCTCAGAGCTCAGGAGCCATTCTGGACTTTTCCGCATTTAAATGCACTTAAATAATAAAGTCTACATTGTCTGACTTTCTGGTTTTACGGTGAGAATACATTCACACGTTGCCTCTCTAGCTGGAAAAATGCTAAAGGTAAAAAACAAAAAAACCACCTAACCAATGTTGACGTTTCACGAGGGCAGCTTTCTCAAAGCCTCCTCACCAGGGCCTGCAGCAGCAGCAGAGGGCGGACCCACAGGCCAGTGTGGCAGCGGGGGGGTGGAGCGGGTGGGGGTGACGCAGGAGAGCACCTCCCCCCATGCCAGCCCTGCCACTCTGTCCAGAGGGAGTTTTATCCACACACCCTGTGGGTGCCCAGCCTTTCACTCCACACCCGAGAAGTGCCTGGTGGGCTGAGTTTACAGGCAGACATCGGCCCCACCCTGGCCAGCCCTGAGCAGGGTGGCTCTAGCACCCCTCTTGAAAAAGTGGGGTCCTTGTCACTACTGCTGGACTATGCTCTGGGCTCAGGTGAGACCATGGGAGAGCAGGAGGAGCCCTATTTAACATCTTTGATTTCTAGGGAGGGAGAGGGTGGTGAGGGAGAGTGCCCTGCTGACTCTCTGCATCTACGTTGTCTGACTTTACGGTTTTACGGTGAGAATGCATCCACACATTGCCCCTCTAGCTGGAAAAATGCACTTAAAATTAGTGAGGGCATGCTAAAGCAAAAAACAACCAACCAACCACCTACCAAATGCTGAAGTTTCAGGTCACTTATAATCTCATCGTCCCAACGAAACCCTATTAGGCTTTTCTATGTGCACATTTTTACTTCAATGAAATCACAGAGTACACGGTATTCTCCACCATCAGGGGCTTGTTGGAGTGGTAGTCAAGCCTGAAACTCCAGCCCAGTGCTTTGGGGAGTCTGCATGCCATCAAGTGGCCGGGCCTCTCCCTTGTCTGGCCTGGTGGCTCAGGGGTCAGGAGCACCTGGAGGGTGGATCGCTGCCCCTGTCTGCAGAGGGGCTCTGCAGTGGCCCCTGGAGCTCAGGAGGATTTGCTCCGTGAGTCTTGAGCAGGAGTCCTCCCGCTCTCCCGAGTCTCACCTGCACCAGGTGCACAGCAGCCATGGTTACATGGGAGCTGGGGGGTGAGGACCACTCTGCCTGCCTTCTTATTTGCTGCTCTGAATTTCTATTCATGGAAGAAATCAGCCAGCCCCAACTGGAAAACAGACAGAGGTACTCGTGCGTCGTTCTCGGAAAGGAAGTCTGGAATAATGAAGGCAGGCTCTTTCTCACAAGCCTGTGAGGAACCATATTCTACAATATTTTAAGGCCTATTCGAGTGGCCTTTTAGTGTCGAATACCACATTTCAGGAGAAAAACTTTCATCGCAAATCATCCTTATTAAGTGAGCCTATTTTAGCAATTCAGATTTCATTTTTTTAAACTCAGGCAGACCATGATTACAATGGCACTGGGGACATAATTCCATCAGTTAACTTTAGTTTTTAGTATCAAACGTTTTGCTGACTGTGAAACCACCAAAGTCTAGTGGGCATTTTAAAATCCCAATGACTTTTCTTTCCATGTCTGCAACACTGTTCAGTAGAGTTCTCACTAGGCAGCACTCATTTTTCTGTTTCTAAAACGACCATCTGTGCACCAGGAGAATATGACCATAAAAGAGAAAGAAAAAGACCAGAGAGGCAGTCCCATGCCGAAAAGTCTGTGCTTGGTGAGGTCACTCTAAGAGGAGCTTTGGGGCTGATCTGATATTCAGTCAGTCACCCAGGCACACACTTTGAATAGCAAGAGACACTGCACCAAAGACACATCCTTGCATATCTGTTTTTAAAGCTATAACATCCTGCTTATATCCTTTTAAAAGTGCGTATCTTCTAGAGAAAAAAAAAAAAAAAAAAAGATGTGATCATGTCAGAGGTCATGGTGTAGCAGGAGAGAAGAAAAGTAGCTGGAAATTCCCCAGGGCCCTCGTCCAGACACCTTCCCACACAGCTGCAAAGCAAACACGGAGGAGAAGGAAAACCAGAGCGAGTGAGGCAAGCTGCTGAGAGGACCTGCTGTTGCCTGGAAAAGGACAGTGGCTGAGCCGTGGAAAAGGGCGACTGTCTACATCGACAGAAAGCTAAAAATTAGGCTCTTTGCAGGAGGTAAAAAGAAAGAAAACACGCCAGAGTTTCATTAGCTCCTGTTCTACTGTGAGCACTGTGTTACGAGCTATGTATGCCTCTTTTGAAATTTTCACGGCAAACTGGATATGGTTAGATAGCATTATCCCTTCATTACGGAAGAGGAGACCAAGTCTCAAATAGCTGCTCTGGAGAGACGAGACGGAAGTTTACTGAAACTGCTGGGCATTAAAATACTTCAATACTTAAAATGTCATAGCTGATTTCTAGTTTCACATCTCTGTGGTCAGAAAAGATACCTGGCATGATTCTATCCTCTTAAACTTGATAAAACTAGCCTGGCGACCTAATATGTGATCTATCTTGGAGAACGTTTCCTGTGCCTTTGCGAAGAATGTTGCTGCTGGGTTGATTGATCTGTATGTGTCTGCTAGGTCCATTTGGTCCACAGTGCTGTTCAAGTCTGCTGTTTCTTTGCGGATTTTTCTGCCTGGATGTTCCAACTATTATTGAAAATGGAGTATTAAAGTTTCCTACTATTAAGTATTGCTGCCTGTGTCTCCCTCCAGTTCTGTCAATGCTTGCTTTAGATATTCAGGTGCTCTGAAGCTGGGTGCATATATATTTATAATTGTTACATATTTTTGGTGGCTTGACCCTTTTATCATTATATAGCATCCTTCTTTGTCTCTTGTGACCTTTTTAACTTAAGGTCTACTTTGTCTGATATAACTATAGCCGCCCTTTTCTAGTTTAGTTACCATTTGCACAGAATATCTTTTTCTATCCTTTTTCTTTCAGCCTATATGTGTCCTTAAATTTAAAGTGAATCGCTTATAGACAACGTCTTGCTGGATCTTGCTTTCCTGAATCCATTCAGCCACCTTGTGTCTTTTGACTGGAGAATTTAAACCATTTACATTTAAAGTAATTACTGATAGGGAAGGATTGATATTGCCACTTTACTCATTGTGTTCTGCTTGTCTTACAGCTCTTTTGTCCCTCTTTTTCTCTCTTGCCATTTTGCCTTGTGTTTCCTTGTGCTTTTGTTTATACTGATATGCTCTGAATAAGTTCTAGAGACCTGCTGTACGGCATTATACCTACAGATGATAACACTGTATTGTACACTCAAAAATCTAAGAGGGTAGATCTCATGTTAAACGTTCTTACCATAACAAAAATGTGTCCTTAGTGAAAGAAAGGGTAGAGTTAGAGAGACCATGGCTGAAAGAAGAGTTCCCTCAAACAGATTTTTTTTTTTTTTTGAGACGGAGTTTCGCTCTTGTTACCCAGGCTGGAGTGCAATGGCGCGATCTCGGCTCACCGCAACCTCCGCCTCCCAGGTTCAGGCAATTCTTCTACCTCAGCCTCCTGAGTAGCTGGGATTACAGGCACGCGCCACCATGCCCAGCTAATGTCTTGTATTTTTAGTAGAGACGGAGTTTCACCATGTTGACCAGGATGGTCTCGATCTCTTGATCTCGTGATCCACCCGCCTTGGCCTCCCAAAGGGCTGGGATTACAGGCCTGAGCCACCACACCTGGCCTCAAACAGATTTTTAATGTGTCTGATCCTCACATGCTCAATTCCATCAAAGGAAATGTTTCCCTAAAACAACCAGGCACTCCATATGCTGGCAGGGGAGTGGGTGAACTCTGGACTCTGCAAACCTCCCTGCCCGGCTACCTCCTGTTCTCTGCTGCTCCTGTCGGACTGATCTGTCCTGGGCAGGGGAGAGCAGTATGCCTGGAAATATCACACTTCTCCGCCTCCCTCCCCTGACCACAGTCAGCCCCCTGGGCATTTCCCTTTGGAATATGGGCCCTGGCTTCCAGCAAGGACACCCTCTTGCCCATCACGATAGTACATGCTCCCCGAGCACGCTGTGAAATTTTCTGTGCTGTGGTCTAAGCACATGGAATTGAGAGGAAGAGACGCCCAGAGGCTCATGCCTGCCTGCCCCAGCTCCCAAGGGTGGCTCTCAGAGTGTCATTCACATGAAATTCCAAGGTCACATAAGTTTGAAAAACACTGACTGAAGAGCAACTCAGGTTTCTCAGGTATTAATGACAGGGCTCCTTGGCGTCTAATATTCTGACATGCGCTGTGGTTCTCCAAGGGTTGGCTATATTATGCAGTGTTTTCAGAATGAGTTTGACCTGGAAACCCTCTTGCTTGAATTGCTTTAAACAACCAGTGCTCTGAGGCGATATCCTTTGAAGAGGAATCGGAGAAACGAGGCCGAGGGACCAAGAATTAGGAAAATATCAACCATCAAAAACGATTTTAGCCACTTAGATTTTTTTATAGAAAATAAAATCCCATGGTTCATACATGTAAAAACCATGTTAGAGAGTAAAGCCATATTAGAGAGTAAAGCCATATTGTATCGCACCACAAAGTTAGGAGGAAAAAAAAAGACTTAAGTTCTGACCTAATTCAGAATTATTCTGACATTATGTAAAAGTACCTTGTCTGTTTCATTCTGAGTGCCTTTGCTCATAAACTTCACTCAAGAAATACCTGATTTTGTCTATCAAATGCATCATTTTATCAAGGCTCTAATCTCATGGGACGTCTCCAGGATCAGAGTCTGCGCCTGCTAAGGCGTCCCACAGTCCACCTGACGGGTCGTGGTCCTCCCTTGCATGGGCTCAGTCACCCCACCTGGATTCACAGATCCAGTCTCTATTCCGTGCAGCAATGTGGAAACACCCTACCTCGTCCTGGGTGTTGGAAGGCAGCTACCAAGCCTCCCTTTTGTTCTCTTTTCCAGGTCGAGCACACCCAGTTCCTACAGCTCTTTCCCAGATGGGAAGGATGTTTAAATCATTGGCAGCTCCCCTCCTCTGAGTGAGAGCTAGTTTCTCAATGTCCACCCCATCTCACACAGTCAAAGCAAACCATCCCAGCAGCACA